GCCATTGTTTGAGTTCATTCTCATGTTATTTGAGCTAAACGGGGCTCGAACGTGCTATGAGTTGGAATACTTTGCAAATAAATAACATTCGATAATGTACCACTCAATCCATAATAATGTTACTATTGTATACCCAAGTTCCCAACTGTTGATATTTTGTTCAATTTATTTGTACTGAAAAACGATTTATGAATGTTTTGAAATTGTTTTGAATTGTGATTGATTTTTTAAATTCTTTAGTGATGATTGCAATTCTTTGCTTGTTGTTTGTAAATTTTTACGTGTTTTATTTGGTAACTAGCTTTTGCCCGCAGCTTCGCTTGCGTTAAGAAATATTAATAGGTCTTTCACCGGGTCTTTACCTATGAAATTGCCGTTTTGCATGAAAAAAATTAAACGATTTTTTGTTTTGAAATGCGATGAAAATGTAACACTAATCAACAAACAAATGACTACTTTTGGAAAAACAATCCCATGTTTTTAAAACAAAATTAATTAGCCTTAGCATAACAAAAACTATTTTGATTTGAAATGGCCAGTACTGCAGAACGAACAATTTCATAGGTAAAGAACTATTATTTTGAATTAGTTACCTATAGTTTTTGCGGCTTTACTTTTGTTTAGCGTGTGTTGAAAATCATCTTCATCAATCTTTAATTTCAGCTCAATCAGTCGATAATCTAAGAAGATTTATACAAACTTTCATCCCCTTTTTTATCTCTTTATAGGTGGCATTTATCACAATCCTTTCTTAGGGGTTGTATCCAGTATAACATAGTTACGCATAACGTAAGCGTTATTGCGTTTACGTAGCTTTATGCATGCAAGGTCTCAACCCGATCGGTTTAAAACTGACAAATATTAATGCAAACTTTCATCCCCTTTTTTATCCTCTTGGGAGTAAAATTAATCAAAATCCTTTCTAAGCGGATGCCTACGTCATAACATCTACTTGCATGCCAAATTTCAGTCCGATCCGTTCAGTGATTTGGGCTGTGCGTTGATAGGTAGATCACAATATCAGTCACCTTTGAGTTTTATATATAATTTAGAAGATAGATAACAGACCTTGTTTCTTCGGTAAAAAAATAAATCATTATCACTAAGCAAGCAAGTTTACCGGAGGTCCACAGTTGGCGAAACACAACGTAAGTCCGTAACGGCCACAGGCTGGAGCAGGAGAAGAAACAGTTTTTAGTCAGTAAGAGTTTGACACTTTCCACCGCCATACCATGGACGAGTAAAGACAATTGAAGATATTCCGTGGTCAAAAAAAAAAGTTCTTTCACGGCGGAATTCTGTGAATCCGCGATATCACTCCGGTCGAATCGAAGCATGGCTCACCGCTTAATTTTTGATAGGAGAACTTACAGTTAATCACGCTAGGATTGTCTACTGCTTAACCATACTAAACAAAGTCTTATAGCAAATAGTGTTACATCAATCAACATCACGTTACAAATAATATAATCGTTGACCCCTTGCAATTTGATCCTAGGAAGCCCTGCCTTGTAACCAATTTGTCCCGTCATATTTACACCATGTAACTGTCAATACATACACGGTTACATGGGGTTATAATTACACCCTTTTACGGGGTCATTTTTGTAAAGGGGTTGTAAAAATATAACAACATTTTTTTAGGTATTTTGCTCAAAACGTTCCATTAGGGTGAGAGTTTATTATTTTTCCATTTTCATATGCACATTATATTATTTTTCACAATTCATTTTCTGGTATTGAAAAGAGCCCAACCTCAGAGTTTCTTTTGGCATTCCTTCTCAGAGTAGTCTGATAGAAAATGCCGGTTTCATCTAGTTTTTTTACATAAAATTTTGACGTGTAAAAGTGCTGTTTTATGGCCTAATTGTATTTACAAAATTAAATTCATTGTTTTATTGTTTCCTACTTCTGGGATTAATCATTCTACAAATGAATGCCTACTGGCACATTTACGAGTATTGGTAAGATTTTCGGACTGAGTCATTTAAGTATATATTTTTTTTAAACCTGATCGCACAAATCATCTGACGTTACTCCTCAATTTAGTGTTATTTTTCTTCTTAGTATTTTTTAAATCACCCACATATACTAAAAACAACCCTAAGGTGTATTAATTAAAATCCATAGTTACGGTTAATTGAAGAATTTGTAAACAATTCTAGGTCTAGAATATTACTGGAATTCGCATTAATGCTAAATGGTGTTTAAATCTTTAAATAATTCCCGCGTTACTAACAGAAAACTGGTTGCAATACAGCTGATGAGTTAGCGAACAAACAGCTGTCCACGTTTGAATAATATTATATCATTTTAAACTTCTAATGAGTGTTGTGCCCAGTGTGGACTTGACTTGAAAAGAAGATTTAATATGTGATTATGCAGATTCCTGCAGATTTTTGGTATAAAAACCATACATTATCTTATGTTCTTTCTCAAGTTCCGAACGTTAGGCTAGAAGTTTAGGCTTGAAGAAAAGACAGACAGAGTTACTTTCGAATTTTTAATTTTAGTTTTCTATTTCTATTCTATTTCTATTCAACATTACATCTATTCTCATTTCCAGCATATAAGCCCACTGCAGCCCAATGGTCTCAGCTCACAAGGACACACAACGATTATTAAGGCGAAATTATACGTCCAGATATTGTTTGTTTTGAGGCTCCTCCGCCCAGAGCAGGAGAAGGAACGGAGGTGTTTTTGGTCAGTAAGAGACTAACTCTCTTACCTCAATATGGCCGAGAGAAGCATTTTTACAAAAAAAAAAATTGTTTATAATAAAATAAAATTCCTATCATAAACTTAAGTTTCACGAAACAGAATAAATCTTATAGAAATTCTTCTCATTCCTAGTTATATTGCCCATCACTCGTGTTTACTTTCTACAATAACATCAACATAACTAGAAACCTTCACAACACGACTCTGTCAATATCTTTTCTACCAAGTGCTGATACTATGTCATTAACATTGCAGAAAATCACAACACTAATATCTTCATTATTGTCATCGTCCTCAAGTCAACCAGAATAGTTCTGTGCCCCACAATGACTTTCAGATTTTTTGGTTGAAAAGAAATAGGTCCTGTACAGTTGTTCCCCTCAACAAATTTAAGACTGACTGGAAAACGTACGAATTGGTCATATAGGCTTTTAATGAGTACAATCACCGCCAGAACGTGATCGACAGTACTTTTGTTTGTCTGTATCTGTAAGATTCAAATCCATTGTATTATTTTTTTTTTTTTATTGTTTAGGTACTTTTTGAGCATGGTAGATAAGCACAAAATAGCGCGTATTGTCGAACCCAGACTTATTTTGCCTTACTTAAACCGTAGCCATACGAAATTGATTTTCGCACAAATTCATTAGTAACAAATACTTTAAGAAATCGCCTGCTTCTTCTATCGGCTTAGCCCGCGTAAGAAGGAGTATCTAAGTAATTAGACTATAATCTATATCTGTGCCAATATTCATTAACACATTAGTTTTTACGTAAAAGAGCTACAAACTTTTGCATTTACAATAATTTTGAAATTTAATGTCTCTAGAATAAGAGTGAATTTTCAAAAATTCTTCCGTTACCATACAATGTTGCAAGCCGAAGGTATTAAACAAATAAAGCTCATAATGGTGGCTGTAGGTACCTATCGTCATACAGGTAGTAACTTGTTAATACTTGAAGCTGTGGGTCCAAAGTAAAGGTGAGTGTTCACGAACTGAGCAGTGGTTGATGACGCAGTGACCGATCAGGACATGGAGCTAGTTCCAAAATTGAGCAAGGGAAAGTGATACTATAAGTTTTAGGATTAGAGTTTACAATTGGACTCGATATTTGACTATAGGTTCAGTTTCTATTCGGGTTTCATATTTACACTAGAGGTAATGATAATTATTTAAATTAAATACTTTTTTAGAAAAACAAAAGCGATATATTTCTATGATTTTTCATCGTCACATCGGGAGTTATATTTTTTTTGCTTCAGGTATAATATTTATTTCTCTTAAATTATATTATGAGAGTTATAGTTCTACATTTATTTTAGATGGTATTCTTCTAGATATCATTATTGAATTTATCAATTTCTTTGGTTATTTTTGTAGTTTTAAAGAAATTTTGTCGCCATCGTCAGGTAATAATCAAAAATAATATTTCTTAAAACAATATTGGACTCTTAAACTTTACCTCATTTTAAAATGGCTACGGAGAAACTACGACAATATTTTTACTTACTCCTAATACAGGAAGATTTTGAGATGTATTTAAATTTCTATTGTGTTAAATATAGAAAAAACAAACACATTTTATTTAATCACACATTACTCGAGTCCATGTGCGTCGATATGCAGGAAACAATAAAAAATGATACGGGTCAAACTGACCACCATTATTGCGATATTATGGTGGACAGTTGCTATTTATATGTATAATTTTTTAATGAAAATTTTTAATTTTATAGAGATATAAATACATATTAAAACTGCTTGTTCTTTATAGTGATTCTCTAAGTGAAGATTTTATATCTACGTTCTTTTCATAAATTTTTTCACTTGTAATTTGACTTTAGACACATTTTTTTGGAAAATCTAGTTACTTCTAATACGTCTGGGAAATACAATAAATTTAATTCATATTCACAAATGTTGAATTAACTCTTATTTATCAGCATACAATTTATATATAATTTTGAAAAACAAAGAAATATAATTTAATTACAAAGTTTTATCTGGCATACTTTGGCAAAAATAAAACAGTTTCGTCCGTTCTTAGGTTCTTACATTTTATATTTCTTAGAAAAAGTAAACTTTACAAAAAAGAAAGCAAGAAAACAAAATCTAAACATGTTAAAGTCTTTCTATTGATAATTTTTTTTTTAATCTGTGTTTTAAACTTCTAAAAGTTTTGTTACTTTGCGCAGAACAAAAGTATATAAAAAGTATCTAATCTACACAAATATTTCGTTTTACAAAAAGATAAAATTAAAACAAAATACAACTCACCTCATATCCGAGATTATTGTAGCGGTGCAGCTCAAAAATTTCGTTTCAAAACACAACACCCATCCGAGCCACACAACGGGGAAATAGTCCACAAAAATAAAAACATTCACCGTTTATATTGACATATTTGAAATTCAATTCGATCGTGAAAAATAGGATTGAATATAAAATCCAAAATCAAAAACATGAATTATGCACTTTGCCTAGCAAGTGGAAGGTTGCATTTTTATTAAACTGAACGAACAAAAAAAAATCTATGAATTTCATTTCGTAACATCCTGTTTTAGTGTTTATAACAAAAATATTGTGTTGTAATATACTTTAAAATTTTAAAATAATATTGTTAATATTAAACATTAAAAACACACTGTTATTATTTCGTAAAATAAAATAACACACTTCACATTATTTTTAAAATAAATATTAAAAAATATATTTTACATTTAACTTAATTCATTAGGGCTTGGTCACATTATTGCCGATACCGACACCGATTCTTATCTAGTGAGCTTTCGATGCTCATGTCGTACGCGCTGCAAACCGACTGCAACGATCATGCGCGTGCAGTGTAAAGCTAGCGATGCATCACTATCAAATAAACAAAAACTGCAAACCCAAGCTCGGCTCGAGCTTCGAGCTTCGTACGAAATGTTAATTTTATTAGCAATTTCATTAAAGCAATAACGCATTGGATGCGGTTTCGGTTGCGGAAATATTTCTTAATTTTATAGCCGTGTTTATTATGTATTTATGATGTTGTAATTTTTCTGTGTTTATTTTATTTCAATTGACGAATATTTAATTTTAATTTGTGTTTATATTATTTAGTTTTATAAAAAATGTTATTAATTTATTTTATTACAATACGAAATAATAAAATAAATTAATTAATTTTGTAATAAATTAAATGTAATTTAAAATATATTACGACCCAACCTAAATACCGGCCAATAAAATTTACGACCGCTATCGAAGACCTAACTAAAACATCTTAACAGTCTACTTACTCTTAATTACACACACATAAATAACATTTGAGTACAGCCCTAGGTACTTAGCGTTATCAGTTTTGGAATCATCCTCCTTATGTGCCATTTAATTAATCGGAGACTAGAAAAAAAAGAGCGTGCAGTATGCAAGGAGCGTGTTCTGTTTTAAATTTAAACTACCGGGTGACAATGGACAGTCCGTCACTCGATCTAAATCAAGGATACTGTGTATGTGTTGTACACATATTGTAGATATACATATCTCTGTGTCTATATACAATGTGTAGCACTAATCGTTTATACAAATTGGCTTCTGAAAGCTTGTGTGTCCGCATTATGATTCACTATTCAATCTTAGGTCGGATGTGTTGTACGATTTATGTAAAATGTAAGTTAATGATGTTATAATAAAATTCAGTTTCCTGTACCGTGCTATGTTTGAAATTTATCAACTTATAATTGATGTTTTTGGTCAAATAACACCGAAAATTTTACATGTATGAATTATAGGTTATAATGACTGTTTCTCGAAATCTCTCATTGATACATCATTCATTGATTCATCTCGAAAACGGGAAGATATAAGCTGTCCAAAAACGAATAACTGCCACCCATCCGAAATTCTCTCTAACTGCTTAGCTTAACTTAATTGTCAGTTAATACGGTTATAATTCAGCAACAAGCTTGAAACCTGCTTTGGTACAGAACATTATTAATAAAATACATCTTCAGTGGACATTAATAGACACACTTGGATATAAATGGTTCAGGAATTTCAGAGCATCGACATTCAGATAAGAGAAAAAAGATTAATTTGATGTATGTTGATTTAGCACGCAACTTTTAACTCGGTTTTAAATGAAATGTTTCGAATTGTGAGCATGGTTGCCGTTTTTATCTATTTCAGAATTTAGTAATAAATTATAATTTTAATTACTATAAAGTATTAAACAAAGTCGCTTTCTCTGTCCCTGTGTATGCTTAAAACTTTAAAACTACGCAACGGATTTTGATAGGGTTTTTTTAGTGTTAGAAAAGAAAGGTTTATATTATATATAATATGTGTATATAGTAACATCCATTTAATAGTAGAGTAATTTAGAATCAGCTTTGCACCCGTTCGAAGCCGAGGCGAATCGCTAGTAATTTATAATTGTTTTATTCTGTGAATTGATGCTAATGTAGTTGATGTTGATTATTCTAGTTTGGTTTTCAAGTTGAATGTTATAGGGTATTTGTCTAGTCATTTTTTTTATGTGATACGTCGAAAAATGAGCAAATGTAGTACCTTGTGGTTAGCAATTAGCACCGTCCATGGAATCCTCAACACCAGAGGAGTGGCAAATGCATTGCCGGCCTTTGATTGGTTTTGGGGATTAGGAAATGGACCTCCAGTAGCTTTACTCACACGGCGAAACACATGGTACTATGGTAGTATCACGTCCGTCTTCTGTGAGGCCGTGGTCACTCCGATTGAACTGGCCCATTGTTGCCGAAGCACGGTTCTCCTACATAAAAAACAATAGAATCGTAAAATTCAACATTAGTTTTTTAGGAATTTTGTACCAGATCCTATGTATGTTGTGACGTTCCCTTTTTTCGTTGCTAGTTTGGTAGTACATACAAAAATTAAATAAGTGCCCCAAAGTTTTTTTATTTATTATGATTAATTTTACTTGTTTTATTACATTAAAAGTCATATTCAAATAAATAAATTAAATAGAAAGCAGTTTCCAACTAGTCAAAATCAATTCACTTTTATTAAAAGGTTAAAAACGAATCTTTTCTCTGATTTTTACGTGAGATATCAATATAATATAACGTTAGATTCTTTTAAATTTATTTAGAAAAATCTAAAATTAAGTTACAACTAATGATTAGTTCAAATGCTTGCTCAAGGCGGATTGGCGATTTCAGATTTAAGGCCCGGTTTCCTGACGATATTTTCCTTTACCCTATGTCAGTAGTGTCTAAATAATCATAGAAAGTACACGTTGGTAATCACCAGGTTTCGAAGCGGGCACCTTAACCTCCGGCCCACCACGACGTTTTATATGAAAAATGATTAAACGTATAACTATGACTATTTTAATAAATCATTGTATTAGGAAATAAAAATTTCTTATTTTGACTTTTAAAAGTGCCCAATAACAACAAATTGCTAACTACGTAATGCGGTAGAACGCAAAAGAATGGAGATAGGTCGTTTGTAAGCACTGGCACTATTCATTAATGAATAACTTAGTACTCTTTGTCTGCTCTACGAATCATTATTCCGGATCTCACATGCACATCACACCGATTTGCTTGTTATTTTCTGTTTCAAAACGCACCCACATAACAGAAAAAAATTCTAGTATGGTTTTTTAACAATAAACATATTTAAAACTAAAAATTTACTTAATCCTAATTTTCTTTAAAAAAAAGCACGTAAAACGTATTAAAAATCTATTAATATCTACATCGTATCGAAAAAATTATTCGCATCAAATATCCATTGTTATACTTATGTTATGCTAAAGATACATATACCTCTTAATTTATGAACATTTAATACAATATTTATTAATATTACTTTAAATTAAAATTTATTGCTTAAAAGGTTTAATAGTAAAAATAAATTATTTTATAGAGATAAATAAATCGATCGTAAAATAACTACATACGTATATTACATTCCTTGTTTAAAATAAATTAATTCACAGAATGTAGATGTAATCTTAAATAAATTTTCTACATCGCATTTTAATATTCCATATTGATCTTAATGACTTTTAATAACGCGTGTATTTCATTGATTATATTACATTTCGTATTAGTAATAAAACTTGTCTTGTTTGAACATGTTTATTCTGTGTTCAGCGGAAATCGTTTACAATAAAATATCTAGTAATATACCTACTAGTACTCTCTGAAGGAGTAGATAAAAAAAAATGTCCATATACTATTTTGTATAACAAATTATGTTATTATCATCAACATCATCACCTTTATAATGTTATATCATTTTCAGCTATAGATATGTATATACGTATCCAACCACTGTCAGTCAATACCTATGACAATATCATCACTGCACCTAGTTAGAAGAATCCATACACAGCGTTTGAAATAAATAAATTATGATATCCTATGAGTTTGCGATACGATTACATCGACAGAAGAAATGGATTAAGAATTTGGTACATATTTTACTACCTAAACGTTATTGAGTTGATATCGATGTTCAGCCGTGGATGTAACACGCTCTAAGGACGAAAAGAAGGAGAAGGATGAAAAGAAATTACATTACCATCACATCAGCCACATAGGACTCCCCAGTGACTTCGACTTCCAGATTGGTAGGATAGGAAGCAACCTGCATCCAGCAGTGTGATTCTGTAAGACTTCATTCTAAACTTCGAATCTGAATCCGCCGTGAGTAGTAGTACACTAGCGCTACACTTGCGAGTTGAACTAAATTGACAGCATCATTTTGATAGATAAAGTATGAAATGACGTTAAAAGTGGCATTCTGAAATTTAATTTACCCCTCACTTCGACGCTCACTTCGCACTCGAACACGATTCAAAATCAAACACATTTTGTAGAATCGACGTGCAATTCTCAGTTGGCAGTCGACGCCGACTTTATCGATCTATCCATGGTGTCATTTTTTTGCCAGCCTTAACCTTTTTGTGAAAAGTCGGCAAACGAGCAGACTGAAGACCTGATGGTAAGCAATTGGCGCCGCCCATGGACACCCTCAACGCAAGAGGAATTACGATTACGTTGCCGGTCTTTTTGGTATAAAGACTTCCGGTAACCTCACTTACACGGCAAAACACAACGCTGTGGTTGTTTCACGCCGGTTTTCTGTGAGGCCGTGGTATCACTCCGTTCGAGCTAACCAATTTGTGCTTCTCACTGTTCCGTCAACCGGACCGTTCTATCCTGAAAGAATATGGTTACCTATCTACTAACTACAAAGTAGTCGGAATGACATATCCCATTCGCCAATTTGCATGATGATAAGTAAGCCATATTAATATAAATTATCGTTGAATATGACAAAAGAATACTATAAATCATTGTCTAATGTCTTCTTAAAAGCCTGAGTTGAGCTTAATTTATTGCGTCTTTATTTAATTTAAAACGATTACATTGCATTTGTACTTTCTCATAAGTAGCTAGAAAGTCCTCGCTTCGGTAGCCAAATTGTAGAACTGGTAGATTTAAACAGTACTACTGTTATGGTTAACAAAATTGAATGAGTTTCAAAGCCTTAACTCTCGGATTTTTTTATTTTTGAAGTGTAATCCTAAAAAGGCAAAATAGGGGGTTTATCTAAACCCACTATTGAAAAGTTCGAGATAAAAATAAATCTTTCCCATTTAAACTCAGGATGCGTGGTTGGCAGTCCTTCCAGATCGCAACGAGCTCGTCCATAATCATTAACAAGGATCACACGACATAATAACGAAGCGCACATCATTTAAAACACCCCATATCATTCCATCAATAATTTTAACACCAACACTGCCAAAAAAGACACCAAAAGACGCCGCCTCCTTCAAAATTCATTTACTTCAACCGCAGTCACTTACACACTTT